CTTCAGAAGTCCCTGAAGAGACAATGATGCGATCTGCGACCGAAGCCATTTCCAGCATGTACAGCTTTAGCTAAACCCTGAGACATGTTTAGGGTCCCGGAACCCTACGAAAGTAAACCCTAGCATCCAGGGTTTACCCATAGGCCCCAAAGTAGTTCATTTTGGGGATTACCATATGCGGAGCATGCCAAGGAATGGCTTCGATCCTGTCAAGTTTGAAAGAAGCTGCAATTTCATGCAGATGCAGCCGGCATAGATGAGTTTCAAAAGCTCGGGCTCAGGGCTTAAACCCTAAACCCCTAAACCACTAAACCCTTAACCCATAAATCCTAAACCCTAAACCCCTAAACCCTAAACCCTTAATAAGGCTGCGAAGAGGGCCACGGGATCTCTCGGGGAGGGTTTGGGCTTTGGGGGCTAAGGTTTGGGATCTCACTACGAGGGTCCAGGAGCATTAGGGTGTGGTAATTACCTTAAGGCCTTCAGAGTAGTTCCTTTTTGGGGTTCATATATAGAATCCTATAAGGTAAAACCAAAAAGGAACTACTATGGGGCCTATGGGTACAGCTTCCCTCCTCAACTTCTGTTGGAGGTAAGTGCTGCGTATGGTGTAATCCTCGACGTGGTATTCGCACCTGCAATATCATTCGGCTTCGAGTCAGACTACAACATGATCATCAACTGTTTTTCCTCAATAATTAGTATACGACAGTTTCCGAAAATTAGGGGTACGTTTTTGGGAGGTCCTTAGAATAAGGATCCTACTACTCAGGGTACTACATTAGGGTCCCCTATTTTCAGAAACTCCCATATACTCCCCTGTATACTAACCTACAAATCTGCGATCCAAAGCCCCAAACGCTGGACCGACGTACCTCATCACTCGGCCCTTTTAGGACCCTGTCAAGCCCCATGCAAGGCTTCTCAGAACCCCTGGTTAGAATCCTGAAGATCCCTTTAGTCATAGGCTCCATTGTAGTTCCTTTTTGTGGCTTGTGTTTAGTATCCTGTAAGGTAATCCCAAAAAAGGAACTACGATGAAGCCTATGGGTAGCACCGTCCTTAGATTCGTAAAACACCCTCTAAACCTTTATTGGAACCCTTATAAAAACCCTGGTAAGAGTCCCTATTTTTCGGTCCCTTGAACCCTCATAATACCCCTCCAAGGACCCTTTTCAAGGACCCTTATAAAACCCTTAACCCCAAACTCCCTAAGCCCTAAACCCTAGACCCTATCTATAGGGATTGATGGTCCCGAACCTGCTTGGAGGGTCGGGGGTCTTAGTAACCGGTTATTCTAAGGACTTATAAGTACCATAACCCTAATTAGGGTCCCTTTTGGGGTACTAACTTATACATCTACTTACTACCTACTTACTAAGCCCCTCGACCCTCCAAGTGCAGGTAGCGAAAGCCCAGCGCGTTCAAAGCCTTGAAGGCCGCAGGCCAGTACGCCGTTGGGGTGTGGGGTTTCAGGTTGTAGGGATCATGGGCTTAGGGATCGGGGTTTAGGGATTATGGTTTGGGGTTTAGGGGCTGTTGAGCACTGTTTAGGGATTGGGGACAAAGGTTAGGTTTTAGGTTTACGGGTACTTGGCTTTAGGCATTGGGCTTTATTGTAAGGTTGTAAGGTTGTGACAGGCAATTCGGGAACAAGCTGTTTGTCATCTTCCGTTTCTGTTTCCGTTTCGTTTCCGTTCTGTCTTCCACTTCTCCAGGGTCTTCCGTTTTCGCTTCCGTCTCGTTGTCCACTTGCTTGTTCGGTTCCGCTCGTGCTTCCATTCGGGGTTCCGGTGTAGATTTCGCTTCCGTTCAGGTTTCCATTTTCCCTGGTAGTGTCTCTATGTCTTTGCAGGTTGGTAAACCACGTTGACGCTGCGCAGGCCCCAATCATCAGGCCCCAATCAGAGGCTCCATTAGGCCCATTTCGCGGCCATGGAATGCTCGACCGCCGGTTCCCAGGGCCCAAACCCATCTGCGAGAAGGGTTCGGGAGAACCTGTTGAGTATGCGGGGTTTCCAAAGCGGGTTCGGAAACAGGGCGTTCCGCGGAACCAGTTCCTCAACCGGATCCAGAAACGGAAGCCCACAGAGCACCGGATCTCTGACCGGTAAATTTGGGACCCTTCCCCAGCCGACCGGATCCTTGAGCGGTAGATCTGGGACCTGGAAAATTGCAAAACACAGTGCGTTTACTGCTTTTTTTCCGGTTTGGAGCTCAAAACCCTGTGTTTTTCATTCCAAACCGGAAAAAAGCAGTAAACACACTGTGTTTTGCAATTTTCCAGGTCCGGGATCTACCGCTCAAGGATCCGGTCGGCTGGGGAGGGTCCGGGATTTACCGGTCAAGGATCCGGGGCGGCCCCCCCCCCCCACCCCCCCCACCCCCCACCCCGCACCCTCCCCCGTCCCCCATCGTCTTGGGAAGGTGCCCGGCCCCCCGGCCCCCTCCTTCCTTAATCCCCACCCCCGACCCCAGGGGAAGGAGGGCAGGAACGGGTCGCCCAAACTCAATTTTGCCATTGAACTAAAGCCGTAGAACCAGCCCCAAAACAAATGGAAGCCAAAATGGAAGTGCCCACGGGAGTGGAAACCAAAACGGAAATGTAAACGGAAAGCAAAACCCAACCAGAAATGCAAGCGGAAGATTAAACGGAAGACAAATCCAAAGTGGTAATGCAAACGGAAAAACATCAGGTAAGGAGTGGAAGTGCTTCCAACTCACTGTTGTCGCAACAACCTGTTACAATTGTAAGGACTTATGTTTGACGGCTTTTGTGCGCAAAGGCCATACTGCATTCGTTTGGCTATTTTGGCTATTTTGAGTCTCAGGGTTGGGGGAGTAGGGTGTCGGGATTGGGGTTTGTTGGGGTTTATGCATGAGGGGTTAGGGTTTCGGGGTTAAGGGTTTTTGCATTAGGGATTACCTAAACCTCTCAACTACCGTCTAATATACCCTAAATACCCACTATGAAGGACCATAAGGGCTGTGTTAGAAGGGCACTTGGGGGGTCCTGGTAGGTTGTGGGGACTAGGTTTAATGTTTACTCTTTAGGGCTGAGGGATTGACCAAAGGAAACCTCAGGGAGGTGGGCGGGAGGGGGGTAGGGTTTAGGGTTTAGGGAGGGGGAGGGACTAGATTTCCTTAAATAGGCCTTATTAAATTAAGGCCCCCTCCCCTTCCCCCCTAAGGGTCCCTGTGAGTTGAGGTTCTGGCGTTTAGCATCAGGGATAAAGCTTTAGGGGCTTGATGATTTAATTCAGGGAATGACAAAGACGCCTTCTAGAAAAGACATGGTCTATCCTATCCCCGACTTCCACGTGTAGTGAGTTGTTCATTCAGGCCCCTCAGGGGTCACCCGTAAATCCTAAAACCCTAAATCCTTAAACCCCATTCCAACAACGCGGCGCGGGGTTTCAGCCGCTTTCCTCAAACGCAGTAGTTGGCTTCGTTTCAGTGGAAGACATCAGTCGTACAGTTCGCCAAACTGTAACCTTGCAGGGTTTAGGGTTCAGGGCAGGTGTAGGGTTCAGGCTCTTGGTACTTTTGTTGCTGTTGTTGTGGGGTTTCGGCCTCTTTCGTCATTAACATGGGTTGTTGCTAGCCGTCTAACCCTAAGGGTCCATGTACCTGAGTAGTATATACATTGGCCATATGGGTACTTTGGGCCCAAAGTATATACTATGTGAGTACATGGACCCTCAGGGCAAGTGGATTAGGTACGGCCCCCACTAAGTAATAGTTGAATAATATTCATAATATAGTTATATTAGGACCTTAATAGTAGCCCTATTATAGACTCTTACTGTATGGGGGCCGTACCTAAAGTGTGGAGTTCTCTTGCAACGGTTGGCTCAAGCTGCTGTCTCTCTTCTGCTCTTGGGCTTCCACACCGACCAATGCGCTATGTGCATGAGAACTTGCGATCACAATCTTTAGTGTGTACTAAATGAGTCCAACAAGTATCGTAAGCTCCCTAAGCAACACTGCTAGGGTTAGACCCTACACTCAAAATCTTAAGCCCTAAGCACAAAGATCTTCCGAAGTTTCTAAGTTTGTGTTTCTTGCATCACTCACGTCTCTACCGGCACATGTTGTACTGTTTAGTTTTTAAGTTGAGAAGCCCTAAACTCTTAACCATGCCCTGAACTCGAAGCCCTAAGATCTAAGCCCTAAACTCTAAATCCTAAACTCTAAACCGTAAGCCGCAAGCTCTAAACCTTAAACCCCTGGCTTCGCTAGAAGCCCGGCTGGCTCCCCTGGTTTAGGGTTTAGGGGGACCAACCCTGGCAACGTATCATAAGTATCCAAAGCTATAGCACCTTTTCTGGTGATAGCTTAATGTATGCTTGGGATCCTACGAAAAGGAACTAAAGGACCCTCCAAAACGGCTATAGAAACTATAGAGTTTAGGATCTAGGTCAAACTTTTCAGAATCGAAACCTTGTAAACCCATTAAAGGAAGCCTATAGAACCCCTGCACAGCCCTTTGCCTTTTCTTGGGTTCATACATCATAAGCTCCTATACGTTTTGTCATGCACTAGCTTAAACACTAGAATAAATGCAGTTTTGACACTCTGACATAGTAAGACATGCAGCATGTGTAGATATGCATAAAGAAATAAATAAATAAATAAATATATATATATATATATATATATAGACGTATATAGACGTATATAGACGTGTATATATATATATATATACACACACACATGTCTGTGTTTGCTATCTTTGTCATACTTGTTGAAACCGGCAAGTTCTCACAGCACTCTTCGCGCTGCAGCGGACTCCAATGACCGACTCTGTTGATGTTCAATATCTGGGCACTGTGTCGCTAATTCCCCAAACTACAGTAGGATTTTGGGCTTATTTATATAAGTAGGGTTTGGAACTATTGTGATTCTCCTGCTCTAGCATTGCTTCCTTCCTGGTCACGGAGTCTGACCACGCCTCTTAGTTTAATTTTTTCTCGCCACTTGTTCACCACTCGCTTGCGATGTGTGGTGACGCCATGGGCCACCGCAAGAAGCGGCTACTTGGCCAAATTTCGCGCCTGTTTAGCGAACGCGGCTACATACTTGTAGGGGGGTTGCAAAATAGTAACCAGTTTCTCGACAAGGATAACTATACCATAACATAGATAAAAGAAGGATATGCGATGGCGTTCCAGAATTAAGGGCTTGGGTCCAGCACCTAGGGTGTTTTCTACGGCTTTTGGATACTGTTTTACTTATTTCTTTCTTTGCTTCATGGTTGTTGTCACGGGAATCTCCAAAAAAAATATTATGTGTTCCCGTGCCTTCCTTGCTAAACTCTGACTAGTCCTTGAATCCTACACCCCACGAGGAGTAGAGTGTTGTTCTTTCATCGCAACGCCGCCGAGGTCGTGCGTTTCCTGGGCTTAGCGTCTTCATTCATTGGTTCTTCTGACAATTTGAACATCAAATCTGCAAGCTAGAATTCAAGGTTTTGGTTTCATGGCCTATATGTGACGACATGCATTGATGACAACTGAGAAAGTCTTGTAAGTTCTGCTCTAGCCGCCCAATAAAGCGACGACATTGTCCAACACCAGCTGTCAGCTGGCCCAACACATACAGGTATGTATTTGGGAAAATATATGATTCTTAGGTACTTGGCCCCTTATACAAAATCTGGACTACCTTAACCTACCAGAACCTCCTGATTTGCAGGTTCGTACTATACACCCTAATGGAATTCATCGGGCCCCTACAAAACAAGTAGGTTCGGGGGGCTTAAGGTAGGTAGGCCGGTGGCACAGTTTTCTCTTATTCGGCTCAAGAGGATTGTACAACCTATGAAATGAATCACAAAAATCTAGAGAAAGCAACCTTAGGGTCTGGGGATGTTTGGGGTCTGACGCATTCGACCCTGGTAGTGGAATCCCAGACCTTGGAACCCCAACCCCACAGTTCATCACTAAACCATGATCCCCGAATCCAAAGGAGAAATCTTCCTGTAGATGTCCTGGAGCCTCGTCGGAGAGATAACCATTACGTAACATCATTCCTTTTTTACAGTAGAAGCCCAAAAGTTGGAAACCCCATAATTAGCCTACATCCTTGAGAGTAACGTAAAGGGAATGACAGCACTATTTGGCCTTAATCCGGTTTCCAACTTTATGGGGTTTACTGTATAGTCCCAACACTACAGACCATCTTTGAATCTGTTTTGGATATTCTGCGCTGTTGCAACTGACGGCCAGCGTACATCTCCCTTAGGGTCCAAGTACCCGGTTATCATATACTCTCCGAAATAGTAACCTACATAATTCCTATAGCTATCATCAGCCCAAGTACCTAATTATTGGGTTCTTTGGACCCAAAGTGTTTTGAGCAGTACACAAGTCCTGCTCTGGTGATTTAAGCACCTTGCCTACGGGTCCAGGTATTTCTAGATACGGATGCTTGCCCAACCATATAATATAGTTGTAATTCTTGCTGGCAGAAGCTCTTTTTCTTACTACATAGGTATCCTAAACCCTAAACCCTACTTTCTGCTACGTAACTTACGTAAGCACTTGGCACGATTCGGGCTTATTCTACCCTAAACACAGGACCTAGATCCGGAGAATCTAATACCGTTTCTCATTATCTAGGTTCCTCAGTAGTACCTTTTTCCACTTTCTATCTTAGGACTCCCTGATTCATAGAACGGAGTACCAGAAAGAGGGGTACGTACTCTTCTTATTAAAGAGGCACTGGGAAAAATAGATATTGCTCAGGCATGATATAGCCCCTACACTAAAGCCCACAAACCCTATGAAACCTCTATAAAACCTGTTCAAGTCCGAGCATTGCGGTGCCTATCGTGACTATAAAAGCCCCAAGCCGTAAACCCTAAAGACCCTAAACCCATAGTCGGAGTAACAGCTGATGTAGTAAGAAATCGTATATGGTGTTTGAACCTCCAAACCTTTCAGGGTAGTATACCCCAAAACCCCAAAACACTCTGAACCCCAAAACCTGTCTTCTATAAACCCTGTAATCCCTAAACACGCCGGGGTAACAGCTGAAGTTTTAAGGTCCGAGAAGGGCAGTCGGCGCGCAGAGGAGCGACAGGGTGTACCCTAAGGGTCCTTTTGAGGGTTTCCAGAATCGAAGGGTTCCTTGCTTCCTTTACAAAAACCTTTGAAGGAATCCCTAAGGGTTCCTATATGGGTGGTTATCAATATTAGGGTCCCTTTCTGGGTCCTTAAGATAATACGGCACATAATATTTAGGGTACCCAAAAAGGGACCATAGTTTTGACAACTGCCGAATACTGCCGATATAATGGTTGCTATAAGGGGTCTTTAAGGTCCTAGGTATCTCCGTTTTGAGTTGTAGGGTTTCAGGTTTAGTGTTCAGGAGGCTTTAAGAGGCCGCTTTTTGTTAGGGTTTAGGGTTTAAGGGCATGTGGATGTAGGGTTTAGGGTTCTGCAGACATAAGGGCTTCAGTTGCACTTACCGTTTAGGGTCATCTAATATAAGGAAGTCGCAATGAAATACCCTCGAAAATAGGTCTTAGCGTGTTGGAGAAGGTTGAGAGATGGTGATTTACGTGTTTTTTCTGAGTGGGTTCTGCACGAGTGCCAGAAGGAGTTGCAGGAGTTGTTCCGGGTTTGAAGCTTCCGGTTTGGGGTTGTTCTGGTTTCGAACGTAGTTTGATATCGTTTCATGCCCCTTTACAAGTTTCAGCTGGTCTGCATACGGAATTTAGGGCCTTTTGGCTTTGAGGCCTAGGTTGTGCAAATCAAGAGTTCAGATGACGGGTGATCCTTAGAGGAATAAGCATATTCATTCGCGCAAGTAGCGCGCTCCTTTACTTAGAGTTCCGCGTTTGGGGTTCAAGGTTTGAGGACTTGCGTCATCATCAAGCGGATGTTTGCTGTCCACCCAATCACCCGTACTGTAATTCCAAACCCCGGATCCTTCAACCATCAAGACAAAGTTCCGAAATGCCCGAAACGTATCCTTAAGCTAGACGGTAACCCTAATCGTTCGTGTTTCGAATCCAATAATTCGTGGTTCAAGGCCAATAACTCGTGGTTCATAATTCGTCGTTGAAGGCCAACAGCTAGTGGTTTAATGCAGTTCCTCCGTGATCCAAGGCCAAAAGTTCAAGCATTGGCCAGTCAGCCGCCGAGTCCGAATAGCCCGAATCTTAAAACAGTTAGTCCGAATCCTGAAAGAATAGTCCGAACCCCAAAATAGTAGCCCGAACTCTACAATGGTAGTCCGAATCCTAAGATATTGGTCCGAATCCAACCCTGAAATCCTTAACCTTTCGTAAACCCCGGACAACTCTGAACCTCAAGCCCTAAAACCTAAAGCCCTAACTAAAACCCTGAAGCCCCAAGCCAAACAAGGAGCTACTGCAAGCGGCGGCGGAGGCGTTCCACGGCGCACCGCCATGCGCCCAACAGTGTTTGGTTTAGTGTGTGTTTCGGGTTTGTGCGTGTGCGTGTGTGCGCGCTTCGAGGTTTGGGGTTTGCGGAGTTTGGTTTTGGGGTCAGGGGCGTGTATACATATTTCTGCAGATATAGAAGTTTTATAAGTTACATTTCGATACCTACATATTCGTATTTATATATATATATATGTATATATCTATCTCTCTCTCTCTCTCATCGGGTTTGGGGCTTAGGGTAGTTATAATTGGCAATTCCGTGCATATGTTTTGGCTTTAACAGAACCCCAGAACCCTGTTCATTCCTGTCCCATGCCTAAGGGTTCATGTGCCCATATAGCATATACTCTGGCCGTAAAGTAGTCGGTACGGTTGATGGTTTAAATCCTGCATTATAAACCATAATAGGGAATATATAGGAAGTATGGTATATTCCTTATTATGGGTAGTGCAGGATTTATATCAGCAACCGTATGCACGTTCTCTTGGGCGAAAGTATGTACTACTTGGGCACATGGACCCTTAGGGTGAGGCATGGGGTCACGGACCAAGACCCGGCAAGTTGCCGAGCATGTCGAAGCATGGCCCGCATCTGCACATACAAATATTTTGAGCCCAAGACAAGAATTAATTCTCAAAGCACCAAAAAGTGCAGCGCAGCAAACCTCACACGACTGTAACTAGACCGACCGAGGATTTATCTTGCATGAAGAGAATGAGTTTCCAGATTTAGGGCAGCTCGGGACGTGGTGCCATGAGCTTTCGGTTCCTGTAAGTTTGCATGTTACGGATTTGTTGCATTCGGATGTTCTTAAGTTTGGGATTGATCGCTGCATAAAGTTAAGCATCAGACAGGAGACTCTTGGGATTCAGGGCTTTAAGGGTTTAGGGTTTAGACGAGGTTGGGTACGGCCCCCACTCAGTAACAGTTGGAGAATATTCATAATGTTGATATAGAAGGCCCTTAATAGTAGCCCTATTAAAAACTGTCACTGTATGGGGGCCGCACCCAATGTCTAGGGCTTATTTCCAGTTTGTAAGGCCCGTAAAGAACCTCGAAGCCTAAAGAAACCTGGACCTTAGAACACCTTGAGCCCTGAAGAAGCCCGAACCCTAAAGAATCACTAAGGCCCCAGGCACCCCTAGAGGACGATCAGACCACCAAGCCCTAAACCCTAACCCCAAGCTCGAAACAAACCCTAAGCCGTAAGCCCTAAGCCCCTAAGCCCTAAACCCTAAGCCCTAAACCCTACACCCCTAAGCCCTAACCCCTAAACCCCTGAGCCCTATATGGGAGTTTCCGAAAACCAGGGGTACCTTTTTGGGGGGTCCTTATAACAAGGATCCTATATTATGGTCCCCTATTAAGCTGAAGTTCGCCGAGGAATCGTGCGGTCAAGCGCCGAATCCGTCAGCGCCTTCACAAGCAAAGCGGCCGCACTGCGGGGCTAATGTCAAACTCGGAGGGTCCATGTACCCGACTAGGGGGTTCCTTTAAGGGTCTACTATAAGGATCTACTATAAGGGTTCTACCAAGGTTCTATAAGGTTTTAGGATGGTTTCGGGTACAAAGATCCAGGTTCCCGAGTAGTATAAGGGTGCATTTAAGGGTTCCTTCAAGGGTTCTGTAGGGTTTAGGGTACAAGGCTTAAGAGGTCCTTTCCCAGAGGGTCCATATACACTACGGTTGATGATATAAACCCTAACAAAGAATACACCATAAATTCCCATTGTCTAGGGTCGGGTTTATATCATCAACAGTACAATTATGTAATAAGGTTCAAAAAAATCATTCGTATTCTGACGGTAGGGAGCTCATTCCATAATGGTACGGTTGATGATATAAACCCTGTATTATTCCTTATTATGGGTAATGCAGGATTTCTATCATCAACCGTAGTTCATGTAGACTTGCTGGGCTGGCTTTCCTTTAAGGATTCCTTAATGTGCTCCTTACTTGGATGGGCAGGGGACTTAGTAAGTAGGTTACAAATAGGGTTATAATTAGGATAACTGGGGTTATAACCTACTTACTAAGTCCCATGATCCTCTAAGTAGGCTTCAAAGATTGTTTGGGCATCCTACTCGGACCTCAGAGGGTCGGGGGACTTACCCTAAGGCTCCATGTATCCATATAGTAGGTACTTTGGCCTTAAAGGGGTCCCTCCATGGGCACTTTAAGGCCTAACTACCTACTATATGGGTACATGGAGCCTTTGGGTTAGGAAGTAGTTGTTTTCGCAGAGTTATAAGTACCATAACCCCATTGTAGGGCATGGTGTAGGGTCAGGTTTCGGCCGCTGCGTCCGGGAATTGTGCTTGGCATCCGGCCCTACACCCAGAGCCTCCGTATATACTGCCGTTATGGAATTGGGTCTGAAGCCGTAATAAGGGTTGTCTTTCGGGACCTTGAAGCCTTACTGAGTAAGGTAGAAAGTATATCTGGAGGGGACACCCTAAACCTCGAAACCCAGACCTTCCAAAATCCCTTGATTACAGAATATACTTTATTTCATATTAGGGACCCTACTGTAGTTTAAGGAGTATTCCTTCATTAGGAATTCGGGAAAGTCTGGGAACCCGTAATCTAGCAATTAGTAAACTCTTAAATCCCTAAACCCCGAAACCCTAAATCCTAAACCCTAAACCCCAAACCCTAAACCTCACTGAAACCCCTGTATTCTAGCAACCAGGAAGCTGGGCACCATGCTGAATCGGGAGCAGTTCGAAAAGGCAATGGATCGGTTCTGCACCTTGGAAAGCAATCCCAAAGGGCCCACGTATAGGGTTCCTTCAAGGGATCTATGGGGTTCCTTAAAGGGATCTATAGGGTTCCTTAAAGGGTTCTTAAAGGGCTCCTTAAAGGGATCTTTGGGGCTCCTTGAAGGGATCTATAGGGTTCCTTAAAGGGATCTATGGGGTTTAGGGTTTAGGGTCTACTCAAAGGATCATGAGGCTTAGTTACTTGGGTTTTGATTAAGATAACTATACTTATAACCCCAATTAAGGGACTTATAACCTTACTTACTAAGTGACATGATCCTCCAAGTAAGGGAAAGTAATCATTACCTGGACCCTAAGGAACCTGTCCATTTTAGGGTTCCCTAACATGTTTTCCTTATATACGTCCTTAAAATGGTAGGTTACTTGGGGTTAAGCTAAGGGTCCATGTACCCAAAAAGTATATACATATATATATATATATATATATATATATATATATTGGCCCAAACATAGGAACTATTTCAAGGCCAAAGTATATACTGTTTGGGCACCTGGACCCTTACGGGGATCAAGGAGGTTGGAACTGTTTAGGTTTAGGACTTCAGGGTTCGGTTTATCTAAGCCAGGTGGGTAGTTTTAAGGTGGGTAGTCTCCCATAAGCCTTCCATACCACTCCTATAAGGTAAAGGGGTCTTATGGGAGTACTATGGAAGAGGAACTACACCACCTGAAATGGGCTTCTAGTTTAGTTAGGGTTCAGGGGTTTGGGGGTTAGGGTTCAGGGACGTAACATGAAGCACCACTCCGAGTATGGAATTTGGGCTTAGAACACTGCTATTTTGGGGTACTTCGACCATCGTGGTTTCCGAACCTCGAACTTCAAGATAGCTCAAGTTGGATTGGGATTTAGGATTCAAGCGTTTAAGGTTTCCTGATTTTAAGATAGTTTCAATTGTCAAAAGGTTTGGGCTTAGATTCGTGGCCTAGGGTCCAAGTTGCGTTTAGAGGGAACGACGGTCTTTCCCACCCTACTGTCACTCTTGTACTAGTGCAATATCGCCCGGCATCATAAGAAACTAACTGGGTAGTCCTTTGGGACGTTGTTTGATTTCCCCACTATTTTGTAGAGAACCATAGTAGTAGATAATTTTCAAAGGGCTTAAAGGACAACTCACTAAACCTTAACGGTCCAAAGTACCTGTACAGTAGAATGTAGGGTCTCTATATTAGGAATTACTATTATGATGTGGGGAAGTACTTAGAGGATCATGAGACTTAGTAAGTAGGTTATAATTGGGGTTATAAGTCCCCTAAGTGGGGTTATCCTAATTATAACCTACTTATACCCTTACCTACTAAGTCCCATGATCCTCTAAGTACCCCCCATAGCAGTACCTAGGATCCTCTGGGAAAGTAGCCGAAACAAGTGCTACGCTCAGGTTCTCAGCCTTCTAACCTCAACACTCACCGAGTAAGTGTCGCACTTGGGGTCTCTTGAAACCCTAGGGATCAGAACAGCCCAAAAGCCTCATATAGTATGGTCTTTGGGCCCAAAAGCCTTAATATATGAATGCTTAGATCCCTAAACCCTATAGATCCCTTTAAACGACCCCCTGCAGATCCCTGTAAAGTGACCTTCCTTATATGAGTCCTTAGATCCGTAAGGAAAGAGTCGTTGACCGGCAGGTATGTATTGACTTTCAATCGGAGAATCGCCCGCCTGGATAGTCAGAATGCCCAGGACTACCTTAAGCCGGAATAACCTACCTTTCAGAACTATCAATCCCCATATGCTACATGAACTTTGTACCCTTTTTGGGCTCATTTCATGGTCAACATACCCTAAGCCCCAAACCCCAAAACCCTGAACCCTGAACCACAAGCCCCCGCAGAACCCTTAAAGGAGCCCGTTCAGGGCTCATTTCGTCCTTAAGTAATGTCTCATGCGTTCGACATGTGCTGAGCTGACTCTTGGGTTCCATGTTGAGGGTTCTGAGGTTTAGGGTATATAACTACGGGTTTATGGTTTCGAGGTTTAGGGTATATAACTACGGGTTTAGGGGTCTAGGGTTTAGGGGTTAAGTTTTAGGGTGTTAGGACCCAGACCTTCCAAAATCCTTGTTTTAAGCAGTATATTTCAACTCATATTAGGGATCCTACTATATAGTTACTGGGAGGTTTGGGGGTGTAGGGTTTATGTTTGAGGGTTTAGGGTAGGGTGTAGGGTGTAGAGGAGAGGACACCCTGAAGCTTCAAGCACACCCAGACCTTCCAAAACCCCTTAATTAAGGAATATACCTTAAATTATAGTAGGATCCTTAATATGATTTAAGGTATAATCCTTAATTAAGGGATTTTGGAAGGTCTGGGAAGCTTCAAGCACATGTTGACGGCTCGTTTGAGCTCAGGGACACTCGAAGAGGAGCACGAAGTGATTGAAGAGGTGATGGAGGTCGGGTTTAGGGTTTAGGGGTTTAGGGTTTAGGGATCTATAGGGATTAGGGATCTAAGGACTCATATATTAAGGCACAGGGTTTAGGGTTTAGGGGTTTAGGGTTTAGGGCTTTAGGTGTTACAGTAGAAGCCTGAAAGTTGGAATATGATTATCCTAAAGCCTTTTATGGTAAATTATAGGGTATCCTATCCTGAAACCATATTCCAACTTTCTGGAGTTCCCTTTAAACCCTAAACCCTAAACCCCATAGATCCCCTTTAAGGAACCCTACAGAGCCCTTAGCGGAGCCCTTAAAGGAAGCTTTAAGGAGCCCTTATAAGGGTAGTATACCACATCTGTTGGTTCTTCGTTGGTCGAATGTGTCTTCAAGGTGTCAGGCTTTAGAGCTTGGGAAGTTTAAGCTTTACGGTTGATGATATAAATCCTGGGGTTCCTTTAAAGGGATCTAGAGGGGGGGTACCTTTAAGGGGCCCCTTTAAGGGATCTGTAGGGGGTTTAGGGTTTAGGGTTGATGATATAAATCCTGCATGACCCATAGTAAGGAATATACCATACTTCCCATAGTTTAGGGTCCTTAAGGTAATGCAGGATTTATATCATCAACCGTAGGGCTTTAGGGCAGAAGGTTGAGGGCTGAAGAATTCCTTCTGTTGGCCTTCTTCTGGTGGGCTCTTCGGACTTCAACTTTCTTGGGGTTTCTATATAGGGTTTAGGGTTTAGGGTATGAACTATAATTACATTATAAGGCTAACAGTTTAACTTTTATGTGGTGTTGTGAGGTCAGCCAAGTCCTGAAACAGCCTGCCTTTTCAGAGTTCCGTATTGTGGTTTCACTGCTGGCATTCTTGCTAGAGCTGAGGCAAGTTGTCAAGCCCTTCCTTAAGGACGACATAACCTGAAAGGTTTATTTAGCAAAGAGAAGGCGCATCATTTGTGTCTTTTCTTTTGGTGTCGCTTGGTTTTTCTTCGGTGTCACTACCCTAAACCCTAAATCCTAAACCCTAAACTCTAATCCGGGTTCAAGGGTCCGAGGTTTAGGGCTTCAATTGTTGAGCGTTCTGGGGTTCAGGGTTTTCAAGTGTTGAGGGTTTACGGTTTAGGGGTGAAGTGTAGGGATTAGGGTTTTGGGGTCTAGGATTTAGGGTTGAAGGGCTTAATGTCGAGAACAAGGGGACTCGCTTATGTCTTGCCAACTGCAGGGATCTTGGCTACTCCCGACCGGCTAGGTTTAGGGTTTTGGGTGTAGGTTTTTGGTGTTATGGTTTAGGGCTTAGGGCTCACGGATCTAGAGTGCAAGTGCTTTGTTGTTTCGACATGTATCCAGCCGCAACCCTAGACCTTAAAGAGATCGAAAAAGAGCTAAAACAAACCCGTAAATTTAAAGTCCGTTTTGACAGGCTTTCAATTCTGTAGGGTTGAGGGTGTAGGTGTGTAGCCCCAAACCCTGCGTTCTCGTCTAGTAGCGTGTGACCCTTAAGTTTTTGCGGCTGGAGCTCCCCGTACTTGGATGGGCAGGGGACTTAGTAAGTAGGTTATAAGTAGGGTTATAATTAGGATAACCCCAGTTAGGGGACTTGTAACCCCCAGTTATAACCTGCTTGCTAAGTCCCCTGCCCTTCCAAGTAATTTGCACTCGGACATGTCCGCGTCGCTGCCAGGCGCCCGTGCATGGCACTTGCGACTTCAAGGACCTTGGTTTTGTGTTAGCGTTTAGGGTTTAGGTTTTAGGGTTTAGGGTTTACCAATCTTACCTTTGGTTAGTAGGGAATGGAAGAATGGTAGTAATAGTAGTTATAATTGTACCCCATTCCTCCATTCCCTACTAACCAAAGGTAAGCTTAGGGTGTTGAGGGCTTCATAATCATTGTTTTGTCCAGCGCTTAGGAATGGATTGTCGGGTTCAATGGGGAGGGGGAGAGGGAGAAAGAAGAGGAGAGGAGAGAACCCCGTTCTTGCACTCTTCCATAAGGCTGAGGGGCCATGGAGCATGTTGTAGCCGACAGCGATGAAGAGGAAGCTGCAAGCGCAACACGCGAAGGCAGGCCACGATCCTGCTTTCCAAGGCAGCGGTCCACTTCCTTGCTCGGAAGCTTCCGGACGACCAAGCGCTGGGATGCTCTCTTGCCTCGATGTGCCATGCCTCCGGCGCGTCCCCGCGGCGTGCAGATCCCACCGCGTGTGGAGTGGCCAAAGATTTTCGGAGTTTTTCAGGGTTTAAATTAAAGTTGGAAGCCGGAAACTGCAGGTACGACGCAAACTCATAGAACGCAGCAGGTCGAAAGGCGGCGAAACCATTGGAAACCTGGTTTCCTGCGAGGTTTTAACATTGGCGGCTTGCTGTGATTGAAAACCGTTGAAACTGTAGGAAACCACAGGGCAAGTCCTGTAATCTATAAAACCTTATAACACCTTGAAGCGAAAAACCCAACACCTGAAATCAACATGAAATGCCACAGCCCTAACCCTCAAACCTTTAACCACAAACGCCCAAAGCCCTCAATCGCCAAAGCCCTACAACCCGAAGGCACTAAAGCTCTGAACCCCAAAACCTTAAAGTTCGAAACCCCTTCAGAACCCATGTCGGGCCCGTAAAATGAACCCTTACAGGAATGACACCCTCAAGCCCCAAAACCATACGCTCTGAAACCCCCAAAGTCCTGCACTCTGCACCAACAAAACAATAACTCCTTGAGTTGCAAAGCCCTAAACCTAATACCCAGGCCCTACCCTAATGCTCCTGGACCCTCGTAGTGAGATCCCAAACCTTAGCCCCCAAGCCCAAACCCTTCCCCCAGAAAGCCCATGACCCCTTTCGGAGCCTTAGGGTAAAACTCAAGAGTCTGCAAGTGCAAGATGCTCCGAGCTCAGCTGCATTCCGCCCTTTCACAACGCATGCCCTTAGTGAAAGCCCGAAACTAAACCCTCACATTTGCAACACGAAAACCTTCAATGCTAACACTTACTTGGAGGGTCGGGGGACTTAGTAACTGGTTATTTTAGGGACTTATAAGTACCATAACCCCAATTAGGGTCCCTTTTAGGGTACTTATAAGTCTACTTACTACCTAGTTACTAAGTCCCCCGACCCTCCAAGTAGAGGAACAGTGCCCTAGAACTTACCAGAGCCCGGAGCCCCAACCCCCGAAAAAATGCACAAGCTTAAATGGATCCTCGACACCCCCCTAGGGCCGAGAAACCCGAAACCAACTTGAAGGCTCATGGGACTAAGTAAGGTTTTAAGTAGGTTATAATTAGTATAACCCCATTTAGGGGACTTATAACCCCAATTATACCCTACTTACTAAGTCCCATGATCCTCTAAGTAGACCCTTCCATGGTATCCAGGGACGCGACTCCAATATCTTTCGAACAGTGGCACCTGCCCCGCGATCCCCACCAGTAGAACTAATTGCTATGCGTTTAAAGTTTAAAGGTATTCCCAAACCCAGCGATTTCTCACTTGTTTGCTTGATTTCGGCATCCTTGTCTTTGCGGTTACGGCGGCAAACCCCTACCAGGGCCAGTGTAGAATGAACTAAGCCGCTATTTACTCATCAGGTCCCTAAACTTGTGAGCCTGAAACCCTAGACTAAAGCCCATAGTAGCGGAGTGGGCAGACTTTACACTTCTTGGTATAGTATTCTCTCTCCAGAAAACTGAATGTGTACACTTTTCATTCGGGCTAATGAACTCAGCAACGCTAAACCCTAAAGCTCTAAACTCCTGAACCCGAAACCCTGAACCCTTAAACCCCCGAAGCCCGAACCAGACATTAAGACACGGGCCATAAGGCCCCTCCCTAAACCCTAGACTGACTAAAGCTTAACCCCTTCTAGAGCTCCTAGCTCATATTTTTGATTCATCCATAAACCCTACGAAACCCTACTGCGCCCTACTACCCTACTAAACCCCTTCGGGAGCCTTCGACTCAAATTGAATTCCTGCCGACGAACCCGCCGAAAGGACGTCAGGCGCTTCGAGACCGGATCGACTTCGACACGGGATGAGGAGGTCAGATTTCGGCTCTTTAAGGTTTGGGGCTAGGGTTGAGGGTTTGGGGGTTTAGGGGGTTTTGGGTTTAGGACTGATGATCTAAATCCTGGGGTTCCTTTGAAGGGATCTATAAGGGTACCTTACTTTAAGGGGTTCCTTTAAAGGGATCTATAGGATTTCAGGGTTTAGGGTTTATGGGGCAGCTCAAGGGGTCTTTAACAGGATCCATAAGATTTCCGTTAAAGGAATCCAAAAAGGGTTTAGGGTTTGGGGTTGAGGATTTAGTGGGTTAGGTTCCTGATGAGGAAGCCAGACTTCTATCTTATTGGTGAGTAGGGTATTTTGGAGTATGTGCGCATTCGGTGCTCTTACCCTTAGCATCGTGCCCAAGCCCCTAGCAGTAGACTAGGTAACCTTTAACCTTTTTTTTGGGTAGTATAACTAGTCCCCATAATAATCCCTTTATAACCCTGTTAACCTTTAGTTCCCATGATACCCGACAAGTAGGACCCCTAAACCCTAAACCCTAAACCCTAAACCCTAAACCCTAAACCCTAAACCCTAAACCCTAGGCGTTTGGCTTAGACTGTAGTTTCCTTAGGGTCCAGTCTCGGCCTTACCCTAGTGTGGCCCCAGGGCCCACGGACTTTGCTGGACCGCAAGTGCGCAGCATTGTCTTGACCTCCTCGGCGTGTGATCCCGAGGGTGGACGGCACTCGAGCGGTGAGGCTGTGCCCCGCTCTTCCACTTTGCAGTTGGCTGCCTGGTTTTTCCACGCCCACCTGTTATTGTGGACACTACTTCTGGTTGGCTGCCTTGATTGGCCCACCCAGGTGGTATTTTACTTTTGGTCTGTGTACCACTGGTTTTGTATATACACTGGTTGTGGATGTGGTTTTGGAGGCTTGGCCTGCTACTCTGGCTGCTGAGCTGGGACCATTCCTCGTCCCATCCGACGGCCCCTAGAGGCCTCCAGACACCGCCGGGAAAGGCGGTTCAGAACGCGAGCGCGGACGTTGCTCCGCAGTTTTGTCGAAAACCCCTCTACGTCTACACGAACGACTGTGGAGCAGGCGTGCAGAAGACTGGAGGGACACCACTCGCGAAGTACCTTGCCGGCGAAGGCAAGAAGACTTTGCCGCACCTGGTTCGACGCGATGCCCAACCAGGGACGAACCCAGCCGTGGACATGCGGAACATGCCGACGCCAAAACAAGGGCACGCAAGAATATTGCGGTGGCTGTGGAAGCCACTGGCAATCCAAGCCCTACTGGACGGGAGCCGCCTCGGCCCCACCCTGGAAGGGCGGAGCTGCGTGGCAAACCCCGGCATCGCCACGGAGGCCCAAGTCGCCGAGGAGACGAGGCGGCAAAGGGCAGCAACCTACCGCGCCGGGTCCGAGTTCAGGCCCGGCGGCGGTTCCCACAGCGCCCACTCTGCAAGGACTTCCAGCGCCACCTCCGTTACCGGTGGCAGCAACGAAGGAGGCCTCCAGAGAGACTGTGACGACGGCCCCCACGGATGGTGGTGCCGAGAGACAGATCCTGCAGCAGCTCCTCCACACCCTGGGCAACCACCAGGAGGCCCTACCGGAGTCTGTTCGGACGATAATGGCTCAGCAGGGGCGCATGGAGACGCAGGATCACGCCAAGACCCTCCACCGCACTGTTTCGGCGCAGGCTACAGCGCGCAGGGAGCTCCAGCGGATCCGGCAAGCTCGGACGAGTTTCCTGGCTTCTTGGCACAAGTACATCGACGACCTCACGACTCTGGTCACGCAGCAGGTAGATGCACAAGGCCAGACCCTCGCCGACCTGGACGAGCAGGAGGAGCAATGGAGTGGGAAGCTTGGCGAAGCCACGGCCAACTTGGCCAAGCTCGCTGCAGACGGCATCAAGCAGGAAGCCAAGGGATCGATGGAAGTCGAAGACCTGGACCCCGACGAGGTCGGGGAGCAACGGGTGATGGAAGCCATCGCCACCCAGCAAGAACTCGAACAGCGGCGGAAGACCCACCAGCAAGCCGCGATCGACTTGGTGGAGGCGCTGAAGCAAGCAAAAGACAAGGCGGCGCAGGAGATCGAGCTCAGTCAGGGCAACCGAGAACACTCGCGCACACCCCGACGAGGAGGACAGAACACTGTGGAGGTTTCTTCATCGGAAAGTGTCAAAGATGGCAACATATCCGAGCACTCCAAGCAGTCTTCAGTCCCTGGCAAAGCCTGAGGCCAGACGGCTGGCAGTTCAGCCTCCCCCTCAGGCGGTCTCCGGCGTGGACAACCTTCCACGCTGACAGCCGATGCTCTTCACACAGTGTCCTCGAGGACCCAACGTTTGTGTCGCCAGCCCGCGCGCAAACACAGGCCCTCCTGCTCCAGTACGAGGTTTTGTACGACTGGATGCTCATGCCGGCGACACTCTGGGACCCGCGCTCGGAGGCCTACGTCGAGGAACACATTGGAGTCGCTGGGGCTCCTCTCCTGCGCATCTGTGACCCGTTGCATGGCGCAGGGGAGTGTAATGCAGGTTTGTTGCGCGAGCTGTCCACATTCCGGGACTGGTCTCCTCCCATGGCCCTTGAGGAGATAGGTCCTGACGAGGTGGATGGCTCGCTGCGAGCCTGTATTCGCGAACCTTCGAGCCAGCATCTGAGGCCAGCCACTGAGCCGCCTTGCCATGTACAGCCATTTTCCATCAAGGGTGTACAGTTTGCGACATGCCAGCAAGTCTGGCACTTCTGCGGGCAAGATCGCCTCAATCCTCAGACTCGTGCGGCCCCCCACCCACATCTCCTCCGGAGTGCACTTCGTCGGCCTACCGAGTCGACATCTCCCCCCTTGTCCTCCGTCGTTGGCACTACCAGCCACACGGAGGTTCGTCCTCGCAAGCAAATGTATGTGCAGCCTGCTGCTTGCACGACGACACCATGCGCACAGACGCCGGCGCCCGGCCCTTCTAGCAGCCGTTGCAAGGTCGGTTCCATGTCGAGCCTTGACGGTTTGCTTCCACCTCCTGACACCGAAGCGCCTGCGAACTCGGGGGACACACAACCCGGCATCAGTGAGAGATGGCCCCTCGCACGGCCACCTGGCTTACTCGGACAGCTCAGGCCCCCGCGTCCATCTGCCATCGCACATATGCGAATCCAGGCCATGGACATTCAGCCGATCGACCTCTTTCGCTACCCTCTCTCGGAGCTGCCGCTCTGGAACCTCAAGATCCTCACGGACAGCACGCAACCTGAAGGAGGCATCTGCAAGTATACATGCATGGAGCGTCTCCATCATGTCACTACCAGGCGGGGGGCCGATGACTGGTCCTTGGCTGATTTTGTGGCTGACGCGGTTTCGTCTAACCCGGAGCCGGCACGCACCGCGCGGGTCCTTCTGCCGCCCATGGCTAACCTGCCGGAGCCACAGATTGTTGTCACGGCCCGCGCGGTACCAATCGGCCACCTTGCAAGTGGTCCCAGTGGACTTGCGCAGGCTCGGCGGTAAAATCTGCTGCATGGTTGTTCGACCTGGCATGGAGGCTACCGAGCTTATCAGCGAAGTCATGCAGTTTTGTGGACGACCCCCGGACCAGGCGTTGCAAGCAGACCAGGCACAGGCTCTCTTCCTTCAGGATCCTTTGGGGCGCGTCTGGGATCGGATGCCTGCCGACCTGGAGACTGTGGGGTGGTTGCAGCTCCAGGTCGACCACACCCGCCTGCTTGCGGATCCACTGCTCAGGGGTGCACCTCCGGATAACCCTTTCGCGGCACAGGGCACAACTTCCACTACTACCGAGATGTTGCCACTCGTGTCCCAGGGGTCGCAGGTTATCTTCGTGCTGACGGGCTGTGGAGCTACTGTGCGTTCTCAGCCGCAGAGCATTGCCACGGTGAATGTGCAGCAAAATGTGCAGGAGCTGGTGCAGGCTCACGCACTGCAAGGTACGATTCCGCCAGGAGCCAGGTTACAGCTTGTCTCTGCCTGCCCCATGTCGCGCATCGCTGGGGTCACCATTGTGCCTCTGTTATGCTTCCCGGATGATGGCGATGTGCATATCGTCTATGATGCTAGCACCTGCGGCTCCCTTTTGCATGCCATGACCGTGAACCCGGGCACCATGCCTAGGGATGTCCTCATGCCAGCGCAGTATGACCGCGGCATGATCGTTACAGTCAACGGAGTTCCGATGGCTGCACAGCATCGACCCTTGGCCACAGGTGACCTTGTACAGCTCATTGCGAACCCTGACATCTTCACCGCCGTGCCGGCCATGCATGTCACGCGGGAGATCCACAGGCTCCGCTTCCTTGCACACCCCATGCGGCTTCCTAGACTCACGCGCCCCACAACGGCGCACTATCCAGAGTGGCAAGCGCAGGCTGCAGGAGCCATGGCCAGATTTTTCGACGCGCGGTTCGCTGAGCACAGACTGCTGTTCGGTGTGCCAGACGGCGATACCACGCCTGTGTATGTGATAGGCGCGCAACACCCTCCACTGCTGGTGTACATTGGTCAGCCTCTAACCCCTGAACCTGAAGAGGCACTGTGGCACCTGCACCAGCTAGGTCTGCTGCCAAGGGGCACCCGTCTGGCGGATCCGCGCACAATGGCGTCAATGGTGCCAGTCTTCGTCACGATACCGGCCGGAGCGCTTTTCGCGACCATGATCATGCTGACTTCCTTACTTTCGCCATGCCTAGGGGTAGGGAGCTAGGAGGGTTGACTTTGCCGGCTACTAGGGGATGGCGTGTGGTACCACCACCACATGCTGCCGATGGGGCTGTTGCAACACGGGTCCGAGATGGCGACCCCACCGATCCGCATCCCAACCTTATGCGGCGAGTGAGGCCGAACTCACCTGGACCCTCCTCCCCGAGCAACCCCCGTGTCAGGCCCAGGCCGGCATCGGCCGCTAGCAGCTCGAGAGGCTCGCGTGATGCTGGCCCCTCTCCCGGAGGTTCTCGGCCAGGCCAGCCACCAGAAGAGCCAGACACTGACGATGGCGGCGGGATTGGATCCCTTTCCC